ATAGAATTTATTTTGTGATTTCCTCTCTTGATTTTCTGTTTGGCGCATTACATGTTTGCTTTTCTGAGTGTCATTGAAGTCATCGTTGATTTACGTTTTCGGGGGCGGTCACTCTTGAGCTGAAGGCACGGAGACCGAGGAGAAGGACGTGCCTGTACAGTAGTTTCTTGAGTTAAGTATAAGTTTTAAAAAGATCCAACACGACAGCTCATTTGTTTTCTGTCGTTTTGCTCCGCTGCAGAAACTGCCGTGTGACCGCAAGTGGAGCTGCACCGACGCTGCGCCGGTGCTAACACGCTCAGTGGCTTTGTACGTGTGACCGCTCCACAAAATGTGCTTCGGTGTAAAATATATCGCAACAAAATACATCGGTGTAGTGCCGGAGCAAATGTGTGCCGTGTGAACACCCCTTTTATGACCAAAACACGTTCCTTCACCGTTGCTGAGTTGGATCAGTTTAATTGACAGAGTAAGGAGTAAATGGAATAAAGGGACAATGTGACTTACTTGGCATCATCTATGTTGGACATTTCCTCTCGAGGGCCATAAGGGAATTCCATTGCGTACTGGCACTTGTCATTGCTTCCAAGAGGAGAAACAAAGTTGTTACAAAACACTCAAGATGTTGCGATTCACATAAGCACAAAGCAATATGATGCAAGACGCAGTCCATGTATTTCCACAGTACAACAAAGAAATATTGGACAACTATTGTAGAATACTGTACGTGAATCGTAATGTAAAAATGTACAAACTCGGTACAGCATTGATGATCAATGAAGACAAATCTACTCAAAGGCAAAGTTGAAGATTGAAGAAGGCTCGTCTTGACATCAATTCAATTGCATTGTACAGAAAACTACGAGTTGGCACAAAGAGGGAGGCTCTCTCAAGACTAACATTCAAGGGGCGGCAGGAATTTTTGCTTAGTACAACACCTTGTGTGTAACATGACAAGAGTCTCATTTGTTTTGTTGATGCCCGATCATTTAATTATCCAATGTGTAGTTTAGTTTGGCAGCTTTGTTCAGCAGATGAGGCAATTCTGGGCAAATGAAGCTCTTACTGCTGCGTATAATCATAATAATTTCAAATGTATGCTTCGGATTGTCCGACTAGAAGTCCGTTGACTGTCACCGTGGGTGCCGTGACAATAAAACCCCCCTTTCCCCCCACTGTAAACAGGTGACAAACAGAAGGAATTTTCAATCTAAAATGGTGCACCGCTACCCTCTGCTGGCAGTTTGGCTCATTACCACTCACATCAGGCCCATATTAATTAACCCCTCCCAATTAAAATAATCCAACAATATACTCTAACTCCATCTTAGCCTATATTATACAGCAATCAGCAGCTCGTGCTTGAACTCTTTACTTTCCTTGTGCCAAGTGCCGCAATCCGAATAACCGAACGGCACACGTGAACAATGCTCTTGAGTTTCCGAACAGTCGGAGTGAAGCAGTATGTGCTCGGAGCGTCTTTCTGAACGCAGACCACAATTGGGGAACGGGCATTTTGGGTGCGAGTCGGAGCTCTACAGTTCTTAGTCTCGGCTTTTGTAAAATACATTTGCACCCTCCTAAATGAGACTTATACTCCGCAGCGAATTATATAAATGTTTTTTCTTTTTCATGATGCATTTTTTGGGGGGTGACTGGTGGGACTTATATTCCATCGTATGAAGAAAAATATAGTAAATGCATCAACACCAGTCCGAGAAGATTCAAACCATATCAAAGACTTTGGCTCCGAACAAATTCCGGTTCCGTTTTAAACTTCTCTTCACAGTACTGACGTTTCGAAATTTTCTTTTCTTTTCTTTTTTTTTTTACAGCCGTTAAACTGATCTTGAAGAAGTCTTCAACAACCAAGAAGATGCCAGCCTTTCCAAATTACCATGACCTGAGTGACTGAAAAGCTCCACAGAGCATTACCTAGTTGTAAAAACTGAGCACGATTGATTGATAACCGTTTTGCCATCGACAGAAACTTAGAACGATGTTGAACACGGCATGCCACGTTCTCCAAACTAGTAACAAGTAAAAAAGGTTGCGACTCCAACAGGAGTTTTCAGAGGAAAACTTGGTTGAAAACATATTTGACAGTTATTTGAAATATATATTTTGGGGCAGAAGTGCATGGGACGTTCCTGACACGTATCCCATGAAGTGAAGTAGATGAAGAGTGGAAAAAGAAATGGCAATCAACGCTTGTGTTTTCTTTCTGAATTGAAAAATCTGAACCACAAATCTTCATTTTCTTGTAACACTACACCACCGAGTTTTGTTAAGTTCACCAGTCCCAGCTGCAGGAGAGCAGCCCCCAACAAACCCTACGTGGTTCAGATGGCGTTCTGAAGCGTCCCTCTTTTTGCTCCAAACCCAACCGTTGTCATCAAGACATCTTTTTCTGTCTACACATCAACTTGAAAATGAAACTCCCACTTCTATTCACAGCACATGCAAAACAGAGAACATGACAAAATGGGAACACCATCAAAATATGGACAGGAAATGTTTGAGGGGGATGGCTGCAGGCTGAAACTTGATTGGTGGTACATACCGATATGATTTCAACACTCTGACGAAGACCACACCGACAGCGCACAGCAAGGGAGAAAGGAAGGGAAGCTTACGTTGCAAGTGTCATTTGGTTCAGAATAAAAATAACACAAAATAATTGGTACTAAAATAGCCTGGCGTGAGGGATAAACAATGGCAGGGCGACCAAATCTAGTAACTCGGGACATTGCTGAACCTACCTCAGGAAGTAGCTGAAGTGAGTTGAGGGGAAGTATCATTTTCATATACAGGTAATACTAGTGTTGTCAAGGGATCCAATATTTTAAAAACTAATTAATCGCACAATTTTCCGTAGTTCAGCGTGATTGATCACATTTTTTGGCTTCTACTTCTACGATTTTTAATTTTTTTTAGCAACGCTTTTAACAAATATTCACTTCAGTCAAATCTGGGATTTAATGAATGCAAAATTGTGAAATGTATATATAGACTCAAAGATATCCTGAGCAATAGCTTTCTTTGATCCTTGAATACAATTCTTCTACTGCAAAATTTAACACAACTATCTAAAATGACTCGGCTTCACAGGCATCTTTTTGAAATTGTTCTCATCGGAATAATTCAACAAAACTGCTCATGAGCACCATAATACAGCAGAGTGACCCGTGGAGGAAACTTAAGCAGGTTATTTTGATCCGAGATGATACGCTGCAGACATATAACTTAAGATGATAAATTTGGCGTTGCAAGGGCCTCGAATTATTTTACATTCATCCAACAAGTACAAAGTAAAACGACCAATAGTCGGTGTTTGTCCGCGTTCGTACCAGACTCCTCTAAATCTGGCTCGACACTTGCGCACAGGGCGCCACAAGAAGCGAATAAAACGAATAACAACAGAGTTTTTTTTCAACCTTTACAAAATTAAAATTAATCTCCAAAGTTAACACTTTAACTCTGACACCCCTATTCAATACACTCAAAACAACTCCCAAAACACGACTTTAGCTCGATAGTTTGTCATCCAATACATTCATCCTAAACTCAACAAATCATTGAACACGCGCTTCTTCAGTTAGAAAGAACATCTTATTTGATAAATGGTAACATGCCACATATCAAATTAAAGCTTGGACATTTGCCAAGCTAAATGTGGAAGTAACAAGCACATATGCTCTGCATTTCTCGAGTTGCAGATGAACGAACAAGGTAAGGGTAAAAATTTTTAAAATGGCCAAATTTCACTGAGTCACCGTCAACAATAAAAAGGCTTATAAATAGAAACAACAGCTATAACAGTCACAACAGGAACAATGACAAGAACAACAGCCGAATGAGGCGAATTACGAGTCGCCAGACCAGACTCAGTATTTCGTTGGGGGCTCCGTCGGCTCCGAACCAGGGCTTCGCATCGTCGATGCATACACCAGATGAGTCACCTAATTCTCATTTGAGAGGTTCTGTCCCACTCTTTCTGTCGGCAACGCACAATTTTAGTATCTCAACTCAAAAAATATCTCTTTGTGACTTCCCCATTTAACTCGGGTAAATGTCCAAGATTTCATTTGATAAACAGCTTTCATCAAAGAAATCTATGATTTGTGACTGAAGAACCAGATGTTCAAGGACTTGTTTTATTGAATTCTATCCTTGGCTAATTTAACGTCTATGATGAGACACTAAATGCCAAAAGAACAATTCCAATTATTAACTTTCACTGCACTACACGGTTGAAAAAAAAAATGGTTTGGACCGGCATCTCCATGAAAAAGCAAAGGCATTAAGTTGATATTAAGTGTGGCCAACCTCTTGAAGACAGCCGTCTCAGTCTTGGCATCAACAGTGAGGCTGAAAGTCTCTTTTATGGAGCCGTTGATGACTGTATCTGTAATACTGCGTTGAACGCTGCAGGTAGTTTCATCCTCCATTTTAGATCTTCCACAACCCTTAGATGTGACGGAAGAGCAAGAAGAAATACTAGGACTCAGCCAGCCATGACTTTCTATTTGAAAAAAAAAAAGAAAAGAAAAGAAAAAGGAAAAAAAAAACAGTGCGAGAAAACAAAGGCTGTCAACAGGACTGTGTTAGAATGACATTGGTATATTTCAATCTGGTGATCTCACCATCCGAATATAATGGTCCAATGACACTCAGCGGATCCAGTTTCTCGATGTTGGTTTCCATAGCAACGGGAGAGTTGCACATTAGTGGGTCATTGGGGCTAAAAGAGAATGTTTTTACCCAGAAACAATCATTAATTATGCAAAGCTTTGTGATGGGCAACAAATGAGGGATGCAGACTGTTTGGGATTTTTCATTACATTTAGTTTTTATTTAATTGAAATTGAGTTTTAATTCATTTTCAGAGCAGGTTTGCTTGGTTTTATTAGTTTTTGTTTTAGTTTGAATTCTTTTTTAAATGTAGTGTATATACTGTGTGCAAGATTAAATCAAAAGGTTACAGTATCGTGCAATAAATTCAAAAATATATTTTGAAAAACAGCCATCCACAAATCAAATACAGGTGCTGAGAAAGAGAGAGAGAGAGAGAGAGCGAGAGAGAGAGAGAGAGAGAGAGAGAGAGAGAGAGAGAGAGAGAGAGAGAGGGAGGGAGAGATGAAAAATGCTTGGGGTTTATTTATCTGAAACTTAAAACTCAGCTGTACTGTGTACCGTATTTTGCATACTTTAAGGCAGGGGTCCCCAACCTTTTTTGCCCCACGGACCGGTTTATGTCAGACAATATTTTCAGGGACCGGCATTTAAGATGTGGCGGATTAATACAACAAAATAATATGGTATGAGCTGCATGGAAACTGTGGTGTTTTCGAAATATAATAATAAACACAAGGAGTGTCTAATCTGGCCGCAACACTGATCGTTATGGGAATGTTTAATGCCTTCAAAATACGATACAACGCAAATTCAAAGTGCATGAAAATGACGACTTGATTTTCTGCAACGAGACGGTCCCATCTCGCGGTAATAGGAGACAATGACACCTCAAGCTTGTGGTTTATGTTCAGTCTACTTCGTAATTTTGTTTTAGTCGCCGTTGCTGCAGAAACCCCCCCCACCTCACACAGGTAGGATGTCGGAAATAGCAACAGTGCTATTGTGGCGATCTCAGAGTATTCAGCCATAACTTTAATCCAGTTGTCTCGAACGTACTTTTAAGGCCGCCGTCATTAGCGATCTCCAGCAGTTTTTTTAACTCATTTAGCGACCTCCAACGTTTTGTGTTTAGCGTAATCGGTCACGTGACGGAGAAGCGTGGTTTGACGTGAGTCAAGCGTGACACAGACGGATGTAACGGAGAATCCGGTAATTTTTCAAAATAAAACATCGTTCGTTTTCCGAAATAAATAAAACGGAATTAAGACAAGTTCTTTCTGTGCGGCCCGGTGCCAAATGCCCTGCGGACCGGTATCGGTCCACAGACCGGCGGTTGGGGACCCCTGCTTTAAGGCACACCTAAAAGCATTCAATTTTCTCAAAAGCCGGCGATGCACCTAATATAAAGAGACTCTCTTCATATTCCCCATTGAGTTGTTTCCCTGTTTATTAGCAGGAACCAATTGAAAGGTTTCTGCCGGACACTGATTGACATGTGCATTTGCCAACACACACTCAAACAGACAACTACTGTGTGACCTCTGCGCAGCCATTATGAAACAAAGCTAATACCAAAAGCATAGTTAACTACTGACTAAACCGGGGGTCAGCAACCCGCGGCTCCAGAGCCATATGCGGCTCTTTAGCGCCGCCCTAGTGGCTCCCCAAAGCCTTTTCAAAAATGTTTGAAAATAGAAAAAAACGGGGGAGGAAAATATATTTTTTGTTTTAATATGGTTTATGTAGAAGGAAAAAAAATGACAAACATTCTTAGCGTTTTCTAATGCTGTAAAAATGTGTAGAATAAAATTTCAATTTCAACATTTCTGTCAACGAAGATTTGTGTCATAGCCTGCGACACATGTTTCTATGAGCAGGGCGGGATGCCAGGCAGGTGGCAAAAACAAACAAACAAACAAAAAAATAGCCTTTCATGTGCAATTCACCGAGGGTACTGGCAAAGAATGGGAATCTGGAGGGCCGACAGAAGCATTTTAAAACGGTACACGTGAGCTACGTAGTTAACACGCTGCAAAAGTGCGTCGTAGTTAACACGCTGCAAAAGTGCGTCGAATGCCTCCGCGTCTGGTCTCGACGAAGGTAGGTAGGCATGCGTGTGTGAGTGCGTGTGTAAGTGCATGCGTAAGTGCATGCGTATGCGGTAACGGGTCGTTCGCAGGAGGATGGGCGATCGAAAAGTAGATCTTCAGTCAAAAAAGGTTGAGCACCCCTGCTCTACAGGATGCAGTGCAGGGAAAAATATCGTATTTGTAGCCAACTTAGTCATTTTGATAGTAGGCTAATATAGATACATACATGATGTGTTGCCTTCATTACAAGGCTTATAGAAGGCTTTAGTTTTTTTGCGGCTCCAGACATATTTGTTTTATGTGTCCAATATGGCTCCTTCAACATTTTGGGTTGCCGACCCCTGGACTAAACGAAAGAAGAAGGAGACAAGCAAAACTTTTAAAGGACATTTAACCCCTTGTGGATGTGAGCCCATGAGGTTCGTGTGCCTTTTTAGTGAATCAATTGTCTTCATCACGTTTGTCTTTCATTTGTTTTGTAATGTATTGCAATTGTAAGCTAGCGTTGCATTTTCCGCTGAGTTAACTGACAAAAGAAGGGGAGCCATGAGATATACGGCAATGAGGAACGACCTCATCTGGTAGCGCATTTTTCTTGGCTGCCACCAGATGACGGAGCTTTGGCCGACACATAGTTAAAGAACTCATTTCCTCCAGCCAATGACTATAGTGAAATAAATACATTTGCAATCAGCACCAAAGACTCATACATTCAATGACTTGCTTGCATTGTTTGGGGAACGTAAAATGTAGTTTCAGTAATCATACATATACATTTATTTATTTAACACTTGTGTTTTTATCTGATCTACTGAACGATTTTTTTTTTTCAATTTTGGCCTTTGTTCTTCCGGCCATTTTCGTGAACCATAATTACGTTAAAATGCAGACAGAATTTTAAAAATATAATAATAAAACCATTATTCCTACCTGGTGGTGGAGAAGTTAGAGAAATCAGCCCAGCCTGTCTCTGAGTTGGAATTTGGAGCTGAATAGCCGCTCCAAGCTGTGTCTATGAAAGAAAAGGAGAGGGGGGAAAAAAAAAACCCTCACTGAGGCTGTTATGAAAATGGCTGTCGGCATGGTGTTGAAAACAATGATTATACAGTTAATACAGTTCAACATGAAAACCCAATTTACTTTACTGAAAGCTATTGATCCTAGGTTAGCAAAAATTTCACACCAAATTGTTTTTTCACAAATGTTCAACATGCGAGCCCTTTGATTACGCTGTATACAGTATATCAAAATCTGAATGAGATTTATTGGCCATGTATGCAAAAAAAACACACAAGGAATTTAGTTCCCGGTTACAACCCGTTCAGAGGAACATTGACAAGACAGCAAAAATCAACATGGGGAAGACGGAACAAGGTCAAAACAGTTTTCCATTTCTTGACAAATGCAAACAAGTCAATAATCGGGATTGATGCTGTTAGCCATCGACTGGCTCTTCTGATTGAGTTTCGGGGTCTCAGCTGCAAGGTATTTCGAACTTGGTGTGGGTCACAAACACCCATTCTCTTTAAGAGCCGCATGTCAGTCCGGCTGCTTTGAAAAGCCTATCCGAAATCTACGTTGAACATGTGTCCATGACTAATTCTTATCAAACCCGTAATACCGTTTTTCCATTAGCCCCAAACAGCGCCATACCGGATCACTCCACTTGGCCCGGCGACTCACCGCAAGGTCTCCTTTGCATTTCCATTAGAACAAGCACGGAGTGGGATCATCTGAACAGTGCAAGCTTGTACACTCTCAGCGTGTGGGATTCTGCCGTAATATTTCACGAGTGGTGAGTCTCGGTAACCATATTGACAGCTTCTTATGTACCGTGGATCAAGTATACGTACATGTGATTTCTTCGTTTTTGCTGAATTAGCAAAAATCTCAGTTTATTGCGCAGTGTTTCAGGAGATGCAGTGTCAATCATCTTTTTCAGTCCCAAAATGTGTACATGTATCTAAAGGGATACCGATTGCTCAACAATATAAAAGATGAAGTACACTAACCTGTTTCAACTTCCATAATGTCTTCAGAGCTGGGATTAGACGCTTCAAACGCATCTTTCTTGGAATCCTCTTCCTCTGAGTCAGTGCTGTCTTCGCTGTCTGTGCTGCCTGCACTCCTAAGGCGGAAACATTCGTGATGTTACGAGACGTGCCGAGGCGATGACGATATTTTTTCAAGATATTGTACAGCATTACTGGGAACGAAAACAATTACTATTCAGTCCCGCGATTAAACCACTTAAAAACAAAAGCAGTTGAGAACTGAGAGTCGCCGCTTGGAATTGACACGGATTTACATGGAACAGGAGAAGTGAGCCAAGCTCTTTTTTCGTCAATGGACGCTACAGCTTCTGGTTTGCTTTCAAACTTTGCTTGTAGCAGACATTTAGGACGTCATGTACGAGCATGACATCTCTGATCCACTGGTGACAAGACACTTTTGATTCTCTCCTCTTTCATCCAGAGCTGCTTCAAACAACAAAGTGTATGCAGGAAAAGTGGTTAAGATTGCATGACTGTCCGTGTTTTATGTTATGTGTTGTGTTATTTTATGTTAACTGTGATGTAAAGCGCTTTGTTACAGCTGTTGTGAAAGCGCTATATAAAGAAAGATGTATTACAACAGTCAGGTTTTCGACTGGGAACCTTTACTGTCTACCTATGCAAATAGATTTATCAGAATTTTGGAGGTGGGTGAATAAGAGTTCTACATTATTGCCAGTTGGGGAGTACAAAAAGTCAAATGCAATCACAAAACAATTATAAATCATTGTGGCAATTCATTTGAAACATTTTACAGGGTTCTTTAAGATTCAACTAAAAAAGTTGATCACCAGATGGTACTGGACTTGGATCTAAATACAGTATCAATAAGTCGTTAATGTACATATCCGTGCATGCATATGTTGTGGTTTTATTATGTGACAAGACAAAACGGAACTAGAATTGCAGTAGCTGGGCGCATGCCAAAATCCATGTGAACCTTTCTAACCTGGGGCGCCTCTGTGCCTCTGGTACAAAGGCAACATCTTTTTCATCCCAGATGTCCTCCTCATCTGAACCAGCATCCTCAAACTGCTGGATTTTCTCTCTACAGCGTGCTTCAAACATAGCTACTTTCACCTGGGGAAAAGGGATCATATCATGAGGAAAAAAAAAAAAAAAAAACGGTCACAAATGATGTGCATTAACTTAAAACTGAGGACATACAGCTATAAATTTGGCGAGCATATGTATTTAGCAGGTTACATTACATTAACATAAATACCCTGCTATTTCATTAGTTTTTTTTTTTTTTTAAATTTAGAGTTTACAGTCTTCTAAAATTTCAAAGGATACATGTTCCAATTAACATCACTCCAACCACTCTGGGTGCCAATTGTAATTGAGACATCGTTTTCAAATTGTCCAATTTGATTGAACATATTTTCTGGCAATTGTCATTTCAATACTATTATTGTCCTCGACTGAGACGTGGAACTGCCAACGTGGAGTCATCATTTTTGACTAGGCTACGGCATTCAAACATACTGCAAGTCATTGGAATGTCTTTGCAGCATGTTCAAAAGGCTTTGCAGTATGTTGGGAAAAACAAGGCCCAGTCAAAAATTTTAGCCCACGTTGGTAGGTCTATGTTTCTATAATCCTCAATGACATCAATAAAGTATATCCATCCATCCATTATTTTATTCACTCATCCAATTTGAGGGTTTTTTTTTTAAAAATATATGTTATTTTATTTTTTTACATGAACGCACCCTTTATTTTCTTACATTATCATTTAACTATCACGTCACAGAAATGAGGACCATGGGAGATGTGGTCGGTGAAATGCATCATTTAAAAACTTTTGTCAACCAAAGTAATTCATTTTTATGGCAGCTCATTTATACAGATGGGTCAAGTGCTGTATTTGAACGGTGACAGAAATTAAATCCATTAAAAATATTTAAAACTTCTGCGAAACAGCGGGGGGGGGTGATTTAGTAGTGATTCACTTTGCACGTTTGAACGTTTGATTTAGTAAAAGAAATGGACTGCCATTCATTCAAACATTTGAGATCACAGAAATAAAACACCCACTTCTACTCCCTTTTTTTAAGCAGCACTATTACATATACTGTACACCTCTTTCCAAAAAAACACTGGCGCAACGGTTGATGACTTTATTTTTGCTGTAGACTGAAAACAGTTTGATGACTAGAAATATGAGACGAGATCAATATTTTGTCTCCATGTGTTTAAATGTGAATCAGATGTACAGCTTAGACGGGACTTTATTTTTTAAACATTTATGAAAAAGTATTGGATAATGTGACTGACAGTTGTGTTTTGTTGCCAAGGTGGGTTCGATTTCATAAATGATTCAAACAATCAATAGCAGTCAATGTCTACACTGGGTCTCGGACTTGGGTTTTGTCTGTGAAAATTACCTTGATACTGGTTAGAAACATGAACCATAGCCAGTACAACAGTTTGGAATTACACAGAATGATGTTGCACAGACAGATTTCTTTTCTTCTTTTTAATTTTAGTGATCAAAATTTCTCAGGAATAACATGCACGCAAATACACCCATCAATTTTTTTTTCTTCTGTACTCATGCATTATACGGACCCCAGATTTGCTGATATCCCCACTTAAAAAATGGTGCATTATCCGGCCGGAGCAAGAACCACGGGGAGCTCCCCATTGTTTTTGTTAAAAAATATTATTATGATGATTATTTTTATTATTATTACTAACAATGCAATATTGTAACAAAGAGCTTTACAGAACAATAGGAAACTATGATTGATATTTTTTGACCAATGAATCGGATTGTTGGGACCTAAAAATGCATGAAAAACTCACCAAAATTTGCACATTCATGGGCCGAGCGAAACGCAAGATATTTTAAAGTCCTCATTCACAATTACAAAAAATGGCTCTGGAGCACCACCTACCGTGAAAAATCAAATCTGACCCCAGTACGTTTAACCTTATGCACGTGTAACACCCTGAGACGTACACAATAAGTCTATTACAGCCATATTCTAAGATTTTTTTAACCAATTTTTCACATTTACAGGGGTCATACTTTTGCACTCTTTGACAAATAGGTTTCATCAGATGGGATTCCAAACTTGGTCTGTACCATCTCAAGACATGGGACAACAACAGGGGGAAAAACGTTTTCAAAATACTCTATGACAGGTGCAGTGCATCAAATTTTGTGTTTCATATTTCCTTCGCCACAAAACAGGAAATGCTAAACATATGGCATTATTTTGTAACACTTATTGCCCCACCCAATGGCTACAAGAAATCTCTTATTTTAAATTTTAATGTACCGCCCCAAGTCCAAATCCAACTGAAAATGTGTCACAAGACGATCAATCCTTAGACCAAATATTATGAATTTTCTACAAAGAACGTGGCCTTTGCAGTGCCGCAAAGTCTGATGATTTGACCATGACAAAAAAGCTGCTGTAACTTGACCCAGATGATGCTAACTTCTCCAAATTTATTTGATAAAAGTCCAGGCCTGACGACATCTACAAATTGTTTATCGTAATGGTAGCGCCACCTACTGGCTATTTTATTCATTGGTGGTTTTCTCTTAGCGGAGTAACCAGATTTACCTCATAGTTGCTCTGAAGAGTGTTTAGGTGTTAGTGATATTAAAACACCAAGTTGGTGAGTTTTCGCTGAATGCTGGCGACATGCTGTTCTCCAAGAAAACAACGCTACTTTTGAGAGTCTAAACATGCATGACAACTTCTTTGAACAGATCAATCCTGGCAAAAGCATTAATATTTTAATAGTTTATTTTTTGCGATTTTTATAATAATGGCACAGCAGAGCCCCCTACACATTTTAACAAAGCAGCTACAACTGTACGTTGTTCAGTATATGTAACAGCCAAAGAGCATGTTGGAGCCATATGCTAAACCAAACACGAAGTCTGCCAGTTTTCTTTCAAATTTTGTCCCATTTTTGGCCTTTCGTAAAGGACACATTTCAAAGAACTCTTCCTAGAGCTATTGTCCAAGTGTCTTGAAACTGGGGGTGTTTTTATCTTAAGCAATTCAAGAGACAAGTGCAAGGTTTTAATTTGATCGAACACCATTGCTGTTGGGACATGCTGTTTGCCAAGATAAATGAAGCTGATTTTGATGGTCATTCGTGAAAACATATGAACCTTTGCACACACATCACGCCTAATCAATATTTTGTTTTGCGGAAGAAAAAAACGCCTTAGTCCCACCCCACTAAAAATTTTTAATGAAACAGCTCCGGTTGAATCTTTCACCAATATCTACCAAATGTTGAAGTCACAGTTCAAGACCTATAAACCAACTCTGGGGCCCTACTCTTAACTCAACAGGAAGTCAGCCATGTTTAAATTCCTTTCAAATTTCGGTCAGGGGAGGAACAGGGAAATGGACGTGTATGAAATGAAATACATCTGACTGTCGTATTTTGTGTAAAAGTGGGTTCTCCAGACAGCAAGAAGTAGGTTCCAAAGCAAGTCTCGCCAGGGCGCAATTTCACAACTCTCTTGCCTCGGTAAGCATCAGGGAAAATGGATGCATATCCGTGGCATTTTTCTTCCTTGTTTATGTGACAAGAGGGCCTGGTCTCACATAAGGCTGCACTTTGCTCGCGGGCCGTTTCTTGAAGTTGTCCCCGCTTCCTGATGTGAAACTAAAGCCCTCTGAGAATTGAGACACCTTGTTTTTGTTGTTTCACAACCAAGGGCAAAGGTGTGAAAATGGAGTGAAGAGTTAAAAAAAGTATTAAATGTATTGGAAGTGTGAAACTCGTGAAAACAGCTATTTTTGTGCATCCCCCAGCCAGACCGATTGATATCGCAAAACACAACGGAAAGCTTCAGCTGTGCTGATTGAACGATTGATGTCCCTCTGCAGCAGCTATGCATTTTAACTGCAGTTGCAGCGTTACACCACCATGGAGGCGCTATACCAACAGCAGTACATCGGAAAGACCCGATGCAACAACTGAAGAAGAAACACATCAAATGAATCATGTTTTTTACCGGCTACTCTGTGCTATTGATCTCCTGCTTTTCCCTGGCGGATGGTACAAACAGAGGTGGGAATCTTCAGTACCTAGTACCGTGAGGAGATTCAAAAATTCTAGGACAAAGTTTTTTGGACTGATTAACCTTTACCAAAGTGATGGAAAGGGCTTCTCCTGAGACAAGCTCATTCATCATCAATGAGGACAAACATGAACTGAGAGTGGAAGGTTATATGCTGGCCAAGTCAGTCTTCACACTGAAAACATTTACCTGCTAAAGAGGTAACCGAAACGAACAATAACCGAAAAGAGGCAACACTAAGAACCTGGAAAAAGATCCTCTATAATGCAACCAAAAGTTTGTTTAATATCATTTGCAGGTCTGGGATTTGCAAATTAATATTATTTCTTTATTTATTTTTAAGAATAGTGTGTTTCGTTGAAAATGTGTAGTATATCTGATCTAAACAAATACCTGGAAATAAAATTTTAAATGGCAATTTTAGTATGTAACCCAAATGTTTTCAGTCAACAGCAAGTATAAAGAAACTTGTGTATGGTCATTCTTACTTGATAAAGGATTATTGTACAATGTATTGTCATCACACTAACTGCAAGTTCTGCGACTTAAATGGAAGTTAAAAAAAAAAGGGCGCCATTGATGACTTCCTATTTTCTTCATTGCATACGGTCTAATTATTCAGGTGTCAACTCATTGTTTACAATTTTTTTTTGGTTTTTTTTTAGATATTCTTGTACTTTTAAAAAAAGGTAGATTTCACTCCCAACAATAAAGTTAATATCAGATATTTACTTAAGCTGTGGTGTGAAAGCGACTTCAGATTCAAGATGCACGGTCATTCCATCCCAAATCATCCCAAAAATCTAAATATATTTAACCAAGTGGATATTGATGTTAATGAAAACTTGGTGTACTTGTTGATATATGCTAAATCTCAAATTTTGTGTCAATCTGAGCAGGGATTTGGGAGCTATGGCCCACCGGCTGCTAAGGGTGCAGTGTGCACTGGATTTTGTTTTGTCCCCCCCCCTCCCCCATACCCCTCACGATCAACTTGGGACCATTCCACGAGCTACCGGTCGATCGTGATCAACATATTGGGCACCCCTGTTTTGAATGATTTGGATTCCTTGGTGAATTCCCTGTCCAACATCTGTTTTGCAAATACTGAGTAGTTCCTGAGATATGAGGGTTTAAAGAAAGGCAGCCACGCCCCCCTTTCTGGCAAAATAATTTCGGTGGGTCGTAGGTCCCAAACCCCTGCTCCGATTGACCTAAAATTTGAGATTTTGTGTTGTTCCATCACTAGCAACGAGTGGCATTTACATCAATATCCGCTTGGTTAAACCTACTGGATAATTTGGAATGGAATGACCCTCAACGCCTCCAGACTTCACTTCTTGACTCTTTGATACACTAAAATGGATTGACAACAACTGGAAATGCATTTTGTCATCTACATTAATATTCAAGATGAATAATGAAGGTACTTACACTTTCATTTGTATTGAGTGAAAAACTGATGTCTGATATTCTGTCAAAGGGAATACTGCAATGTTAAAGACAAAAATGGGTTAGTTTCGAGCGCTTTATTTATTATGTCCAATGCTTCAAAGGCAACTACAATATACAGTAACATACTAAAGTTTGTGACCTTCTCTTTCTGGCAAAATAATTTCGGTGGGTCGTAGGTCCCAAACCCCTGCTCCGATTGACCTAAAATTTGAGATTTTGTGTTGTTCCATCACTAGCAACGAGTGGCATTTACATCAATATCCGCTTGGTTAAACCTACTGGATAATTTGGAATGGAATGACCCTCAACGCCTCCAGACTTCACTTCTTGACTCTTTGATACACTAAAATGGATTGACAACAACTGGAAATGCATTTTGTCATCTACATTAATATTCAAGATGAATAATGAAGGTACTTACACTTTCATTTGTATTGAGTGAAAAACTGATGTCTGATATTCTGTCAAAGGGAATACTGCAATGTTAAAGACAAAAATGGGTTAGTTTCGAGCGCTTTATTTATTATGTCCAATGCTTCAAAGGCAACTACAATATACAGTAACATACTAAAGTTTGTGACCTTCTTAACAGTCATTTTCATCAACAGTAAATGATGGGAGGGAAAAAGTTGGCATGATTATGAAAAAAAAAAGAAGGTAAGGATTTTCACAAAACTGAATAAAAAGTGAAGGACTTTCACAAAACAAATTGTGGTCACATAGAAACAATTACAAGAATTTAGAGCTATTTTGACAAAACAAAACAAAAAAAAGACGTGCCAAATCAATTGTGAAGATATTTCAAGAGCCGTCATGTGAATTAAAATCTTTTTTTTCCCACTTGATTACCAAAAGAACCATGATATGAGGAACGTAAACAACACACTATGGAATACAGATTGAAGTGTTTGTATTGTGCTCGGAATGAGGTACAAATGATTCATGACGTTTTTCATGAAAAGGTTCCATTGCCAATATATTTTGCATTTTGTATTTTTATATTTCTAATGTTTTTGAATCTTTTGATCTCCTATTACCGGATTTGCATATTAGTTTTTTTATATTATTTTAGGCTGTAAGTGAGCAGGATGCCCCATTTCAAGCTACAGTGGACTCCAGTCAGTGGATAGGGGACCGGGCGGGCCAGCTCAGCTGTTTTCTGAAGCTGAGCCATGACAGGTCGTTACCTGAGCCGTGAGCAACTATGATATCATTTGCAGTCGACAGAAGGTGGTAAAATGGCTGCCAATGGAGATGGCCAAAAACGCATGACAACAAATGCAGCCGCGATCTTTTGACAGATAGTTCGTGAAATGTTCCTATGTATAAGAAACTAATGTAGCTATGATGCGGACTACGAGCGTGTAAGAACTGAATGTGAAGTGAATATGAAACATCCGGCAAACATTTTACTCATTTGCACATATGTATATGATTTTTTTGGTTTTTAGTTGTAGCTTTTTCTGCTTGGCTCTGGACGAAGGCGGACGCTTTTTACTCGGCTCCTGTTCCCCCCAACCATTATCCCTGCTTGCTTGCTGACTTTGATTATGTGCTGTCCCTTTTTCTAAAACTAGCCTGCTTATTTTACTTCCGAAAAACAAATCATGGAATTAGTCAGCTGGACTCTCAGCACTGTGGATAAAAACATTTCGACGAAAAGAGCAGGCAGTGGGGACACTTCTTTCCCCTCAGGGACATTCACTGCTGAGTACATCTTGATCCTTGGCAGAAGTGGAGAGTGGTGTGCTTGATATTATTGTCCATACAGGGTGTGGAAGACCTCTACATTATTGGCTTTCTGAAAACAGGTACCCTGCTGTTTGGAGCTGGCAGTTTCCTGATCTATCGCAAAACTCAGCCGTTGGAAGTAGCTTAATTGGAAGGGAATAAGATGAAGGTCTTTATGGAGGGTGTGGGGCGGTTTGATCAAAACTCAGACTCATGCGTTGACTAAACTCATCGCAAAGCGGATGCAGTTTTGGAGTCTCTTGGCAAAATGGAAAAGAACAAGGAGTAGTTGGCGTCTGGCCTTGAAAATTTGATTGAGGATTCGGCTAATTGATGCCATTGAGAGTCACAGGCTAAAAGACATTCAAGGCTGTCTGAAATTGATGACAGCCTGTTCCCAAAACAACTGTTTTCTGGACTTTCCTTTGGATGAAAACTAGGCTCGGACACGAGCATTCCTATCAGCCCCTTAACCCTCCTTCCTCGACCCGAGTCTGATATGCCAAGGAGGTCTCCACGGAGACGATAAGCTAGGTGATACAGCTGCGGATGCTTGACACGCATACACATCCACGATAACGCACTAGATACCTCCCTGATTTCACCGCCTTCAATGGATTCCGATCCACTCCGCCCTTGTGACGTCACGTGACTGACAGAGCTCTCATATGGTCTGAGCTGCTAATGAGACTGGTTGCATCGCGTTCTCCCCCTTCATTCTTCCATCCTCCTCGTTCAGTACATGTAGGCTCTTGAGATTTGTTGTACATGTGTTTGAAATGTACGGTGCGTGTTTTTTTTTTTTTTTCCCTCAGGGGCAAGTCATGCTTCCATTGAATGAGAATGGTTTGAGTCAGTCGTTTTTTTTCCCACCTCTTTCCAATTTTTTTCTTTTCATATCTGAATGTCAGTGTGCTAAATAGCAAGTCACCAGGGTTCCAGTTCTGCCTCCCTCTGTTGGTCATTGTGTTTATGTTCCTCTTAGCAGGTCCGAACTGGAAAAGTAAATACCTTATGTGTTTCGCATACTTGGCCAAATAAAACAGATTCTGACGTCTCCGCAGTGTTTATTTGCTTTGTCAATGGTACAGTGCATGTCAACTTGGCGAGGACTTCTTGAGTGTGTTGCTCAGCTTTACTTATCTTTTATTTCGCCATAGTCGTGCATGTCAAGTCGCATAGTTACGTAATCCTTCATATGGTTGGTGGAACAGAAATGTCGACACGTCTTAATTATTTTTCTTTTTTAAACGGACATCAGCCTTGTTAAACCCCAAACTGTTTCAAGGCGAGGGACATAAACTTTTGTTTTGCTATTAAATTACTTGCTATAATGGGAGAATCCTCCATTTCTCAATTTGAAACAATGCCCTCTTCCGCCTGCTTGGGGACAACCAATCACGTGACTGAATCCTGTCCGCTCATTCACAGAATGAACATTTGAATGAGGACTTCATCACTTCCCTAACTTGCAACCAATCAATAGACCTGCTCGTTTTTGGAGACAGTTTAAATACTTGATAGAGTTGATAGTATGACAGCACAATTGACGATAATATTGAGGATGATGTATATCGCCCATCCCAAGAGGCAAGGCGGCCTGGTTGCCCTGGAGGAATGGCTTTCCTTTTTTTCTCTCCTCCATGGTGACGTTAGACAGCCTGGATGACCAGCTCGAAGCCACGGTCTCTGGCTGGTTCTCAGTTGTGCTCTGATTTCTTTTGTTCAATACACCTTCATGATCATGCTGCGAACCGCTGTGAAAAGCTGTCTAAGCTCACGTTGACAAAGTCACCCTTCACGAAATGTGCCCTCACAAAGCACAATTTTGGTTTCAAAATCAGCTCATTTGCAGGCATTTTGTCACTCAAAGGCTATTTAGTGCATGCAAATGACCAAGCGCATATATGGCAAACTTAATTTACATCACAGACTCACTGTGATCTATATTAAACATAAAATAGTGGAACCAATTAATTTTGATGGAATGGGCACTTTAACATGAACAAGGAACATTTTTGGGGTACTGGACAAACAAGAGTGTTTTGACGGGTGTGACGATGGAACAAACATGAACAAAAATCTGAAGTATACCCATGTAGGTTTTAGAACTATTCAGAATTAAAAAATCTCATTTCTGAAGAGTACTGGGACAGCACACCATTGACTTCAAAGTGGTTGTGTACCGACCGTCTAAAGGAATCATATAGAAATTCTGGTACACGTTTTGACTTATAAAGACTGATCGGCACAATCAAATGTAATAGTTTGCCAGCGCGCAGGCCTATATTCCCATATGATAATATGCTTGCCAGCTTTGAAATGTCTTCAGTGTCTTGTCCCATCAGTTTTATTTAATCATTTATTTATTTTTCAACATGTACTCACTCCAAAACATCATCTGGATCAGCAAACTCTTCGTCATTGAAGCCAAACTGCTCAATAAAATTGGACGTCATTTGTTGCATCTGATAATCAGAAAACGCCTAGCAAAAGCCAAGACCAATATTGATTAATGACGTACTCTCTCAAGCAGGGGTCACCCACATGGTGCCCGCCGGCCTGTTCTAAAAATAGCACCAGTGATTGAACATTGTGATGTTGCCAGAATGTTGTTGACGTTATCATTTCAAAAAATGTCCAAATTTAGGTTATATGTTTCCTACCATATCAAATCACTGTTGACATTAGTGACAAATTAGTAACATGAGCGGTGTCTTCACATGCTGTCGATAATTATCATCCATTATTAATAACAAATGTGATTGGAATTCAATGTGATCAGAAGTGTGTATTAAACTGGTAGCCTTTCGCATTAATTAGCTCTCAGCTTTAAAAAAGGTTGGTAACCCCTGCTCTCGAGCCTACACAAAGCTAGCTAGCATTTACAGAATTGGTTGACTGCACAAAGGCCACACCCTATGTAAAAGAAGAGAATAAGTCATATGCCTGCATGATTTAGGTGTCAAAATGATTTGGCGTGCAGTTTAAGTAGGCACCATAGTCAAAATGTGTGTACAGTTTAAAAGACTGGCCTAATGACAGTGATGTTTGGAGTCGAACAAATGACACTACAAATTGTAAGGCTGCGGCCAGACATTAGCATAAACTCATGAATCCAATAAATATGTCGGGCCCTGTACCTTGGCCATCTTTTGGGATGGTTTGTTTAGAGTGAAGGTTGGGTTGCTGTTTCCTGCTCTTCATATTATATCGCAATCCTATTTCCCTTTGGTGGTTGTGTGCTAGGGTTACCACAAGGGGGTGTCACTCTAGTGGTTCTCAACCTTTTTTCAATGATGTAGCCACGGTGAAATATTTTTTCAGCCAGGTACCCTCTAACTAGCGCAAAGCATTTCCGGATTACTCCCTCCCATCCCCCGCCAAAAAAAGGACTCAAAACAGAGTGCTGTGCCATCTGTCTGATGTCTTACACTGTAGAACTGCATTTGTAGTGGGCATCTCTAAACTATTTGAAAAATATAAAGATAACGAAAAGTGGAAAGAAAGAATTAACTTAATTCTAATTAAATATGGCACGGAAAAAAAAAGAACAACATTGAGAGTCCTCTTTGGGATCATAGTATAGATTTGTTCTAAAAAAAAAGTCCAACTTAATTTTAAATAAAAGCAGAAAAAAAGCCCTTAAAATAATTAAAAAGATGAAGGAAAATATTACCAGTTGTCAACACTGAATATTGTATTGTTGCACTGAACTGGGTGTTTTTGTACCGTATTTTCCGGACTATAAGGCGCTACTTTTTCCCAAAATTTTGAACCCTGTGGCTTTAAATGTGATGTGGTTTATTTATGGATTTTTACTGACAAGCATCAAGCCATCAATTAATTTGCCCGTTGGTATTACATCTGATCAATGGAATTAAAGAGCACATCATAGAGGCTATCAATAAGTGTCCGAGTCCGCCCTCCTACTGAATATTCATCAGCTATTTTACAGCTGCGGGAGGAGCCGGCTGTGAGAGAGCGAGAGAGCGAGAGAGCGAGCGAGCGAGCGAGCGAGCGAGAGAGAGAGAGAGAGAACATAGCTAAATAAAAGGGAAACCTGTGGCTTTTAACCTGTGGCTTTTAATCCGAAGCGGCTAATGTATGTACAAATTAGTATTTATGGCTAAATTTAGCTGTTGAGGCTTTTAATCAGGTGCTGCTTATCGTCCGGAAGTTACAGCACTGAGTGAGACATTTTAGTGAGACAACATTGACTTCACTGAGGCAAACTGCTGTGAAGTATTCCTCTTATTTTGCATTGATGCTACTTTTTCAATAGAATCTCACGTGCTCACATTTGAGAACCACTGCTCTAGCGCATAACGACTTAATTTGTTTGAATGTTGTTATTAAAATGGGTTGTATAAAATGTAAATTTGACACACTCTGCTTTACATTTGTGTTCCACAAAACAAAGAGAACCAGATTGCATGCATGCACGGAGAGATGTCAGGGTGAAAAGGGCAGCAAACGATGTTGCGCCTCGTGTGCGGGGGAGCTTTGCTTAAGGGCAACTCAACTCAACAGTAACAGGGAAGCAGATGAGCACGTCCCCAACAACTAGCTGCCATTCTACATTGTGTTCACAGAGGTATTAAAGCCCAAGTCCTTACAGATGAGCTTAATAAATGCAAAAGTAAATAAAAACACCGTGTTGTATTTCAACTAGCAAAACACTGTATTTTGTGGTGCATTCTAACCTTTTATGCTACATTTAGTTTCCTGAAACCTGAAGGAATACTGCATAGCTGAAAACAAAGTAATCACATTGGTTGATGATGTGTTGATTTACAGAAAAAAATGATAAAAATATCTTGCGTACATTTATTCAAACTCTACCACTATAGTGATTAATGACCAAACAAAGCGAATTTGGTTATTGTTTGTCTCAATTTTATGATGGCAGGTGGATGGAGGAGAGTGTTTTGTGTTGGAGAGCAGGGAGCATTTGAAGAGACAAAGCTCCACTTGCTGTGTGGTGCTTCATGCTAATTTCCAGCAGTGAGACAAGCATTTAAGGGTAAGATTGAATATCAGCCATTAAATATCAGGAAATCATTCAATTTGGCTTGAGGTTATGGACAATGACAAATTTTTGGGCCTTCAAACTAAATGGCCCCTCGTAACCTTTGACTTCAGAATACTCCCCTTCATGAGGTCCAGGCCAGCAGTCCTTGTCTGCTTTTCTGTGACTAATGTAATGTTGAGTGTATGTTAACGTCTGACTACAAATGCAAAAATGTAACCCCGAACAGTCAACTTGTTTTTCTGCGTGACTATGGGCCTTGCACATGCGTGCGTGGATTTTGGAAAGTTAATTGATTTGTCTAAGAAGTAGAACCTTACTTGTTGTAGAGATGAGTCATGATGAAAGCTGCTATCTTTAAAGTCAACCTCATCATCAGTTGAGGATTGGATCTGGTGTGTTGTCACCTGTCAAGAACAAGTAATGACATTGATGAACAAGCTGTGTCCGACAAAAAAATGTCACTATTATGTGTTCATAAACCTAAGAAAAAGTCCTTCCATTTTCTATGCTCGCTTATCACCGCCATGCTGTCATGAAAGGAATCTTTGTATCGTATGAAGTATTTTTGGTGAAATGCACACGGATGTTCATACTCTGTTGCCATGACACTGTATTACCTACAACGCTTCTGTTGACATCACGGATGAGTCAGATTACCAAGACTGACCAGCGGGAAAAGAGTGTGACAAGGCAGTTTCGACAGAAAAACAAAGCACCAAGTAAATAAATATATAAACAAAGGGCTATTAAAAGGGGTACACACCCCCTTAACAGACGCTTGCGCCTCCCCTCGCTAATATTTGAAAACGGCACTCAAGGGGGCATTGCCTGGGGGATCGCTGGGGGATGGTCTGGCTGTGATGGACAGCAGCCCACACATCCATCTATTTTCCAAGTCGCTTATTCTCATGAGGGTCGAGATGGAGCTCACACCGCAGCTGTTTTCGGGCAGTAGGTGGGGTTGACCCTGAATTGGATGCCAGCCAATCGCAGGGCACACATAGACGAACAACCATCGCGCTCACACTCACACCGATGGAAAATTTAGGGTGTTCCATTAACTTGCCATGCATGTTTTTGGAATGTGGGAGGAAACTGGAGTACCCGGAGAAAACCCACGCAGGTACAGGGAGAACATGCAAACTCCACACAGGGAGGCCGGAGCCGGAATCGAACCCCCTTGCACCTCTGCACTGTGAGGCGGACGTGCTAACCAGATGGACAGCAGCAAACGACCTGAATAATTTCTATACTTCGACAAGCTATGCTCAATAAACTAACCAAATGCTATGATAATCAATCACAAACCTGAAAATCTATATAAAGATGTTTTCAAACGACACAATTCCAACCCGCCCAGAGGCGTGTTTGAGACTGAGCTGCTTATACACACAATACATCTTCATTTTATATACACCACAGTGGCATAGCGACTACGTCAAGATTCCGCAAGTGACATCAGGATTCCCTGATGGTCATATCAGAGGACGGAAAGCCCAAATCAAATGCAATGCAGTGTTTAACCTGAAGATGGCCACGCACAGATGGTTGTGGCTCCAAATTCAACATTTCAACAAACATCCAGTAGAACGTTGAAAAGATGAACAGGACATGCAGACAGCATTAGTAGATACCTGTTTATACAGTTGATCAAGGAAAACAAGTTGATTTGTTGGTGACCACCTCTTTAAATTAATTAATGAGAATTGTGATCTTTAACGTCGTCATGACTCGTCAATTCACAGCCCCAGTGTATTGGATATTTAAAAAAAAAAAAAAAATGGAAATAACAGTAAAAATCTAATCCGTTCACTTTAAAATTTTACACAGTATTATCGGTCTTTGTTTGCTGCTCGTGAAGCGTTGTGCTCATGTGCTGGCTTTGTTCACATCTCTTTGGGGCTTTGCCTCCTCTGTCCATAAAACCGAGTGATGCCTCTGACTGAGTGTAAGGCATAGGGTAATAATTGTGTCGCCTCCAAAAATATACAGAAAATCAACATAGTGAATAGACCACAAGGCTATGTAAGTTTACAGGGACAGCTACACACGAAAATGTTTTTGTGCCATTGGTTAAAAGCTGCACTTGACAAGAGCACCAACTGTGCTTGTGATAACTTACCAGGTCAACAGTGTTTCTCTTGTTTGTGTCAGCCAGCTGCCCAGATATGAAGGCCTCCCATTTTTCTCTGTCCTCCACTTTAAGTTCTGTCACACACAGTCAGTTCATATTCATATACAGGTATTTCACAGGTGAATATCACATACATTTACACACACACACACACACACACACACACACACACACACACACACACACACACACACATATACCGTGTGTGTGTGTGTGTGTGTGTGTGTGTGTGTATATATATGTGTGTGTGTGTATGTATAAAAAAAAAAAAAAACAACCTCCTCCAGTTTAGAGTGTATTTATTGGCATTAATTTAAATGAATTCTAACGGGATTAAATTTTTTCTCGCGAGATTAACGCGGGCAGACGTCACAGCGGATGTTACGTTGCTCTATAAATAAACCAGAAACAACAAACGCGCTGCACATGTCCACGCATGTTTTGTTTTGCCAGCCACGGCAGCGCGAGACACTGAAAACGGATATTTTAAGAGTTTATGAATGGAAAGTTTACTTTTAAAAAGTTGCCAGATTGTTCCACTGACAAGACCAAAGTTACCTGTATGTTTTGCAGTCGTAAACTGAGCTATCATCATTGCACATCGAGTCTGAAATACCACTTAATGGCCAAGCACAAAGCTGACGTGAGTGCTTGAGCCCCGACAC